TTTGTCACTTCCAAATTTGATAAAATAAAAAGAAACATACCAAAGTAAGATGTATTAATACAATCGCAATAACGCATACATAGACTTTACAAAACACAGGCGTAGAAAATAATACAAAAAATCTGCAATCGACATAATCTAACCGTAACGTACTAATATGAACAATACTATATTCCAAGCTGTTACTAATGTATCTAAAATATTGTGTCCCTGTCCGCCTTTAGCTTGCGAAAGTTTCCGTTGGGTTGGTGAAAGCAAAGACAGTACACCGTCCATCGTTTCTTCGCATGTTGGTAATATGTCTGCTGGAGGGAGTGCGAAACCGTAGTATCCTTCATCTCGAAGCTCAAACGTCATCACGTATCTATCAAGTAATAATTAAAAAAAATAAAAACATCCAACTAGCACACCAAAGAGTTTCAAATACTCCTTAATTAGGTATAGAGTAGACATTCAAAAGGATAGCGTTAAAGTCTGTGCAAACAAATTCAGCTTGCCATATAGGTATGTTTAGACCAGTGGTTCCCGAATTTATTTTGTCTACTGCCCACTTTGAGAATAAATATTTTTTAGCGCCCCAATACTTTCACATATTTAAAAACCAGTATAACTTCAAAATAAATTGATTAATTATTGTGACCTATTTATGTATATTAACGGAGAATTCTAAACGAAACTTTTACTATTACCCGCAACTTGAAACCTGCAGCGCCCACAATGGGGCGTTATCGCCCACTTTGGGAAAGACTGGTCTAGACTTATTGAACGTCTAACACACTTACGGAACTTTAAATGTCTTCTTAACCCAACATCCACTAACTCCAGATGTTAAGTAGCCTGAAATTATATTATTTATTAATTTTCCCATGAAAGAATATTGCATCAATTAAAGAAAAAAATATTTCGTTTGACGATTTTTAAGCATCAAGCAATTAACACATCTCTAAAAGATTTAATTTTAAATTATTTTTAATTAAAATTATGTTAACTAGCTGTCGTCCTTCAGTCCGTGCAAGTGTTCTTCCAGACTATGTTCTATATCTGTGTCAAATTTCATCAAGATCAGTTTAGACGTTCCGGAGATACCTTCAAACAAACATCCACCCATCCATCTAAACATTCGCATTCATAATAGTAGTAAGATTTTCTTTAACGATAAACATAAAATACACATTACCGACGGTATCGAAAGCCGTTCCTACAGTATATCCTGTTCCGTGTTTATCAGCAATCCTTAGAGCTGCTTTCTTACCCATTGCGTACTAAAATAGACACAAAGATTTTTGGTACAAATCAAATAAATCTAAATCATTCTTAGCTTTTTTTTATTTAAGGTGGCAAGCGAGCAAGCGGCTAGTTGAATACGCTAAAATAGCGAAGCAACTACTTTTCATTGACATCAGAAATTGCAAGGTGCGCGGAGAGGAGGCACATAAAGAGTTTCCTCATCCTATGCGTTCCTTCCTCTATCAAATACACTTTCTCTTCTCATCCTTTTCTTATAATAGAGAGGTGGAAAAGGAAAGAGGAATAAATAAGACCTCAGGCAAGGATACTGAAATACGGAATTATTTCCACTTCACGCATGTGTCCTGTGGTCGTGGTATTCCACCGATCGAACCAGCTCATTCAGGCAACTGAGTTTCTTTATTATCTACTAGCTGTCGCCCGAGACTCCGTTCGTGCAGAATTAAAAAAAAATCTAATTAGGAGGCTATGTGATCTTCCAGACTATGTTAAGCTGTGCCAAATTTCAGCGAGATCTATGGAGTTATTTCAGAGATACCTTCAAACATCCATCCATCTAAACATTCGCATTATAATATTATTATACTAAGATTACTAAAGCCTTTGTTTTTTGAGTTGCTAAAAATTTGATATCATAAAATTGATTACCACTTCATCGTAATTTTCTAAATGTTTCTTTGTGAATGTATATGGTATTATCATGTATTGGCCGTATGAATGAAATGCAAGATAATATTCCAAATCTTCGCTCTTGGAACGCACGAAGGAAGCCATAGAAGAACTTTCCCGTTCAGAAAACGCGTGATCCCCGCAATATGAATTATCCCATGAACTAAAACTGACTCCAACAGCTGTAATAATAGTGTTAAATTAAAAACTGGTTAATTAAATAAATTATGAATTTAAGTAACATATATAAAAAAAATTACTTCCAAACGCGATCCCAAAATTTCTATTTAAATCAACGCCTCGACTATTTTTCCTCCATAAACGATCCTGAAAATATAATAACAAATATAACGCAATGAACTTATTTAATAACTCACTAATAATACTTATTTTTGTTCAGTAATATAAGTCACTAGCTGTCGCCCGCGACTCAGTCCGTGCGAATAAAAAAAACCTTAATTAGTAGCCAATGTGTTCTTCCAGACTATGTTCTACACCTATACCAAATTTTAGCTATATTCTTTTACCCGTTCTGTGGATACGTTCTAACAAACATCAACAAAACCTCTAGAATTAAGAAACTTACCGAGGTATGAGTTATTTCGTAGCCGTCAGGATTTAATATTGGCACGAAATACCATTCGTATGCAAAAGCGATTTCTTTCAATGCTGTATTATTTGATTTAGGCGCATGAAGGATTTGGTTCATCATGTACGTCACGAATGCCGGAGATATCCATTCTCGAGCGTGTATTCCACCTTCAACTATCACCTTAGGTCTGAAAACATGGGCATCTTTATGTTTTATTTTACACCAACCAGTATTTAAGGAGTGAAGACATGCAATCTGCAAGTCCTTGGTTCAAATCCTGCCATGTACCAATGTGTTTTTCGATTGCCGATATTGTACATATATACATTTATCCGACGTTCTTACGGTGAAATAAAATATCGTGATACAACCAGCACATATCTGTGAAGAAATTCAAAGATATGTGTGAAGTTAAGCGCACTTGGCCAACGTGGTTGACTATGGCCTAGTCACCCTTAACTTAGGGTAGCCCCTCGGTGGGGACACATGGTGAGCTTATGATGATAAGTATTTATTCAACGACTATACAGAAGATAGGCTTGAAATAAGAGTATATACGCATTTTGTCTAATAAATCATTCTTTGTTTAACACCCACATATAATAAGTAGATAGTGGGAATGAATATGGACTTGACAGAGGAGAGACTGAATATAAAAAGAAATATGCTTTTGCTCATCTTCTCTATCCAATACAAGTAGGCGATGCATCTGTTAGTCATTACGCAGATGTCTATGTCAAATGTTCCAAGTACCTTCTTTTACCGGTGCCTAAAAGAATCCTAACTGCAATAATATCTCGATTTTCCAAAGTTTTTCCGATGCTCTCTAAGTAAACCTCCTGAGGATATTCATTTCCAAGATCAAATAACCACTTGTAGATATCAATTGTTTTAAAATAGCTACGCCAATCGAATTGTTCCATTTTTCTTCTTACGTAACTTCGCACTGTTTGTCCATCGAATGCCCTAAAATTCAATTCCAAGAATATTAGTAATAGTCTATTCCAGATTATTAGTAAAGGATTTATAAGAAGACAAAAATACCTCATATCTATACATAGAAATAAAATTGGAGTGTCTGTTTGTGATATTGAAATAACCATTTTTTATTACATGTATGAAGTATACGGTACAATCACCAAAACATGTTTTACAAATTTTGTCTATCTGCCTGTTTGTTTCAAGTAATCTCCGAAATGGCTGCACCGATTTTGACGGGAATTTTATTGGCAGGTAGCTAATTTAATCAGGTGTAACTTAGGTTTATTTTAGAAAAATAAACTAATGTTGCAATGTCCAAGTACTGTCCAGTATCGCACGCAGTTTTAAGATGGTATTTCACGCGGACGGAGTCACGGGTACAGCTAGTGTACTATAATATACAATACCTCTGTACGTTATCCATGATTGTCACCAAGTAGATGCCCAAATGTTCTGCATCTTTCGTAAATGCTGGCTTATCTTCAGGTGATATTATAAACTCTACTGATTTGCTGATTTTACCAGGGGGTCTCCAATAGTTTACGTCATAAAATTGATTGAGATCTTTGAAGAATTTTAGATGTTTCTCGCTCATCGGTATAGCACGATACAACGTATGGTTGTGATACTTTTTCTGTGCGCATTCATCAAATGGAAATATCGTCACCAAATAAACAATAACAGTACGAAATGCTATTAACATTATTATAGTAAAATACTATGTTTTCTAAAAACGATGATATAATTTATTATTTATTGTATTTTTGATTTGTCAGATTGACGTACTTCAATTTTATTTTGATGAGCATTAAATCGTATCTATGGATAGTACCACAGATTATTAACAACCATTATAACTTTCATATTACCTATGCTTAGTTATGACCCAGAAAATAAAAAGCAAATGCCTTCGCTTCAAAACTATTCCATAACCCCTCAGGTCAGAAAGCTCTGCTAAAGGTCAGTGGTCTATTCTTGTATCCCCTAATATATTCCCAAAATGAAAAAGGCGTGGGATTTGACCTTTTAAAACCTGACACTACAATCATCTATTTCACGACTATGTCATGACATCGTGATTTTTGGGCAATCAGTTCTTTGCAATATTTTTCAATTCCAACTTTGCAACCTCAAAAGCTATATAACTCATGAAAGTAATAAGTAACTTATATACAAAACTTTAATACACATTTTCATAAAAACATTACATTAACAAAATAAAACATGACATATCAAAAAATAAACCAATGTTAATATCACAAATTTGTTTTCAAGTTTTTGGGCCGCATTGAACAAGTCTGAACGAATACGTCTGGGGCGAGCTGTCATCAGTTCAATAAGACCTTGCAAGGTCTCCTCACAGGTTGGCTTGATTTGGTTGTTTGGTAGCGCATAGCCGTAGCTCCCGTTGTCGCGTAAGAGAAATGTTATCACATATCTAAAGGCAAAAAGATTGGATTAACAAAAACCATATTCATTATAGCCAAGTTCAAGGCCAACTCAAAGCAAGAACTACAAAAAGTGAAAGGGATCGAGGGAGACTTATAACAGAGCAGTAAACTGACACACCCAGATGGTTTCGATGATGAAAGAATGTGCTGAGAATAAGGACACTTTAGCACCAAAGATATGACAAAAATAAATTTTCAATTATAATTCAAATCGTTTTAGAACACTTACTTTGTTTTGAAACTTTTCTTCACCCAAGTTGTACTACTTCCAGATGCACGTAAACCTATAAATATTGTAGATATGTCATTAAAGTAATAAAAGTGGTAGTAAATAATCTAAATAATGATATTAATCCAAATGTTCAGACAGATGGACGGATGGATGGATGGATATTTGTTTGAAGATATCTCCAGACTGGCTGCATGGATCTTGATGAAATTTGGCCCAAATGGAGAACATAGTCTGGAAGAACACAATGGCTACTAATTAGGTATTTTTTAATTCCCGCCAGTCTTAGCCGCAGGCGACAACTAATATTTGATATTAAGTAAAAATTAGCCAGACCTAACGTATCATATGTAGTGCCAACACCGTATTTAACTCCATTTAATCTATACATTCTTAATATTGCTTGCTTCGCGTAGTTATCCTGAAATATAAAGCCTTATTTCAACTAATTGTTAGTAGTTTAAGACTAAAGATAAATGACCTTTCTACAGTTATCGACAATTTCATAAATAAAAAGGTCCATTAGGAGATTTTAATATAGGTATTAGCACGCTGAGACACCACTTCGGGAGATCGCCGACAACATCAAGAAGTTGTTAGGATACTTCGGAGAGTTAGGTTTTCTAGAGTGCGTCCAGGTGTCCTGCTTACACGCTTTTGCGTCTGTCGTGGTAGCCATGGAATTGCGAAAATTCAAGTCCAAACAATTTTGTGAAGTTGGACAATTATTTCTCTTACCAAAATCATAATTATTTATATTTTTTATATATTAACGAGCGAGCGGCTACCTGAAATCGCTGAAATATCGAAGTTACCGTTGCCCATAGACAGACGCAATTGCATATGCGTTACCCACCTTTAATCGACGGAGGAGAGGATGCACAGAAAGAAAATATTTTCCCTGTCCATGCATTCTCTGATCCGGAAAGCCCATTTCCACTTCCCATACTTTCCTTATAAGAAAAAGGGTGGGAAGGGAAAGAGGACTAAATTAGGCCTCCAGTATATTATTGTAGTTTATCCAGAAAGACACAACACTCCAAACTTTAACATATAACTTTGTCAAGAATATACCCAAAAATCTTACCATTTCCGAAAAATTTTCAACGTGTTGTACTCTATCATCGTAGGGTATTATAATTTTTTGACCATATGCATGAAATGAGATGTAAAATTTCAAACGATCTCGTTTACTTGTTATAAATCCGGCTAGAGCTTTTGATTCGGGTTCAGAAAAGGGTTCTCTACCACCGTAGTTATCATCTTTTACATTAGCACTGGTTCCGTATTCTGTGTTATTAATAAAAATTTAATGAATTTGAAAATATTGTTATCACTGATCATTAATTAACAACTTACTTCCAAAATTGTGTTGAAAATTTCTATTCAAATCAACTCCTTCACCTGTACTGAATATTCTTCTATTTTTGCGCCATAGACGATCCTAAAAATTGTTACACTGTTAGAAGTTTCAAAATGGAACTATTGGCGTCGGAAGCTGATTATTTACGCTAGGTCTAGGAAGGGGGGGGGGGCAGGATCAACTAATACGGTCCCTTTCCAGGGACTTTTAAAGGTGCAGAAGGAGGCAAAAGAGCGGGAGCGCGAGGGAGATCCCCTGGCGCCCCCGCTCAGACGTAGGAGAGTGGGGCGGAGAGGGCGGCAGTATATTGCCGCCCTCCCCCCTCCCACAATAGCCCTCTGTTGATGGACACGGGGGAGACCATCACCAGCGACTGAGGGCTGCCTCCCCCCTGAGAGGGAGCTGCCTCGGCAGCTGGCGCAGACGGGGCCGCGGACGAGAGCGAAAGCGTGCCCGTGGTCCCGTCCCGATGCGTTGGAGGAAAGGTTTCTTAAAAAAAAAAGGGACTTTTAAAGGTATTACATTTTTTAATTATCTTGGGATCTGCCTCTTCCTCACGACGCCTATGAACATAACCTTCTTTCGTGTCACCAGAAATTTATATCTTACTAATATTATTAATACCAATGTTTGGATGGATGTTTCTTTGAAGGTATCTCCAGAACGTCTGAACGTACCCCGCTGAAATTTGGCATAGATGTAGAACATACTCTGGAAGGAACATAGGCAACTAATTTTTTTTTTAATTCCGCGCTGATGGAGTCGCGGGCGACAACTAGTTAAATAATAATACTTACATGTTTAATACTATAGTCGAAGCCATCAGGATTTACAACCGGTATTAAATACCAGTGATATTTATTCGCCAAATCATATAGTATATCATCCTCGTTTTTAGCATGTACCAATTTTTGTATTAAAAATGTCACAAAGACGGTGGATATCCATTCATTTCCATGCATGCCACCGTCAACGATCACGTTAGCTCTACCCTTGTCTTTCTTAATTAAAACCGCTTGAATATCTCTCCCTTCAACAGATTGACCAATAGTACGAAGTTCAACACGTTCAGGATTTTGGACTGCTAGATCAGACATCCATTGGTAAATATCTTCCAATGTATGATAGTACTCCCAATTGAATGATTCTATTTTGGGTGTCACGTACTTTTTCATACTTTGCGAATCAAATGCACTGGAAAATAATACAATTATTTGAGATCTAAAATAAGTGAAAAATAAGATTCAGTCTTTCTAATTAAAAAATTCTTACTAATTATTTATCTTTTTCATGTGAGTCTTTAGTTTGTGCTAACTGAGCCTTTATCAAGACTAAATACCTTTCCTGAATTAGTTATGTTTTCTATTCCTTTGAAACCTTTTGGTCTATATCTAAAATATTTCTATCTATATCTAAATTTAACAATTCAGGCTGTGTTTTTAATCATTCAATACTTATGCCTTAACATTTACAATCAAGCAAATGTTTTGATGAAACGTAGGAAGTTTGAACTAAATACACTTGTTACCTTTGTACATCTCGTAATAATATTTGTGTTTGCAATTTAAAATGACGGGTCCTTTCTTTGAATAGTTCTATATCCATAGGATTGACTATGAAATGCACATCGTTGTATAATTTAGACGGCTTCTTCCAGAATATAACATCAATATATTTTTCGGATACTAAATTTTGTAGGAAATTCAAATGATATTCTTCCGTTGGTGTGGCACTGAATAGTGTGAAATTGTCATATCTCCGGCTTATGCATAGTTCAAAGATTGTAAATAAAATTAAAAGATTTAAACAGTATGATTTCATAATTTTAACAACACAAAAAATTTTAAGAACCCAATACGCTGACAGATGATGACTTTGACGTTAGAATGTTGACTTAATAATTTACTTATCGACAGAATATTATCGGTCTAATAAGTTCTGTTTCGTGTTATTGATGTCTTTATTCTACTGTCGCTGTAACAGTGGTAGAGCCCGCTTTAACATCTTTGCACGAATTGGCCCGGCTCACCCGGTGAAATACCACGACCACACAGAAGACAAGCGAGAAGATGAAGCAATTCCGCGTTTTGGTCTGATGAGTGTGCGTTTCGGAGGCCTAATTTGGTCCTCTTATCCTTCCCACCCTTTTTCTTATAAGGAAAGGATGGGAAGTGGAAGTGGACTTCCCTGGAGAGGATGCGTGGGAAGGGAAAATGTTTTCTTTCTGTGCATCCCCTCCTCCGTTGATTGAAGGAAGCCAACGCGCCTGCAATTGTCTATGGGCAACGGTCTTTATTAAAAGAAAAATGTCGCCCGCGACTTCGTCCGCACAAAAATCTTTATGCTTAATAACAGATAAGGTATTAAATCACAATGATCAGTTTTGTCTTTCATTCTATTCCATTTTAAATATCTAGTTTTCAATAAAATTCAATTTGATTTCTTCCTTATAAGGAGGAAGTTTTGGTTAATTAAAAAGAGAGAAATATTGCGTCAGATTGGAACTTATGTAGGCATCTTTGGTTTAACTTCTCGCATTATTCATTACAACTTTATTTCTGTAGACAGTCGCATTTCTCGTGATATTTTCATCCTACTAAACTTTTAACGAGAGAGCTATGTTTTATAAATATAAAATACTAGCTGTCGCCCGCGACTCCGACCGCGCGGAATAAAAAAAAATTATAGCCTATATGTTTTTACAGACTATGTTCTACATCTATGCCAAACAGCGAGAAAGATGTAGCCGTTCTAGCGATGCCTTCTCACATCCATCCAAATATTTGTAAATAGAATGTTAGTAATGTTCGGAAGGAAATCCGACACTGTATCAGTGTACTGGTACAACACTAGCCTTACTAAAATGTCGACCTTTATGTCCCCTCACTAATTGTTCTTACACTGGACTTTGTTACGAAAGTGCACCATTCACGACAAAGGATTCTAACTTATAATGTCTAAAAGTAACATTAAAATGTATTTTTTTCTATATTAAAATCTAACATTACTATTAACTTAACTTCTATTTGCTAAATTAGGTTATAAGTGGTTCTCGTATAACCGCAATCACTCGATAAGAGTTCCTAACCACTTCGACTTGCTCAAAATCCTGCGAATTTTGCATTTAATATTACAATATTGATACTTGAGAAGGCAATTTAATACAGTCTCGCTTTTAAAGGAGAATTTTACGAATACCTTCATTTATTCATTAAAGGTAATGGAACATAATATGAAAATAGAAAAGTCTGTGTACATATCTATATTTAGAATAGGCATTTTAGGGTTAAGAAAGCCCTTTAAAGGTATTTCATGTTAAAACCGCAGATGCGTTGCCACCTCAAAGGCCGGCAACGCATCTGCGGTTCCTCTGGTATTGCTGATGTCCATGGGCGTCGTTGAACACCTCGGTGTTCCCGCTGCTCGTTTGCCCCCTTCTGTTATAAAAAAAAAACTAAAGCAGTAATAGTGGATTTATCAGGAGTATCTCAAAGGGATTTTCAAAGATATTCCTGTTTAAGAGATAAATATTATTTAAATAATTGAAGATTGTTGTTAATATTTTTACTTTCGTACTTTTATTTATTATGTAAATTAGGCAAAGCATAAAAGCCAGGATTATCTGTAAACAAACTTTGTTGAAAGGTCAGCTGTTAAAAGGTTAAGATTTAGTCTTAACCCATGCGCCATTTTTCTATTTTATTTAACTGTGTACGAAGATTAAATAAATAAAAAATAATATACAGTATTTTCTTAGTAAAAGTCCGCAGTGTTAAAGATCTGATGGCGTCTTAATTTCTTTAAATTGCCTGTTAAATAGCGAAAGTTCGGTATCCCATTAAGTAACTGTCAACTAACAATAGCACAGAAGATTAGGAAGTTAAATAAAAATGTACCTTTCTCGTCGTCTAATACGAAAACTTTTGGTGTCATCAGCAAACTTTTTTTTTCCACAATCATTTTCATTTATAAGGTTTATTAAGATGTCACTTTAAGTTTAAGACTTAAGTAAATACAAAAAATTCTGATTTGCTTTTTGTCAATTTTGGTTGTACTTAAACTAAACATCGCTAAGTTAAGAAACTTAAGTACTTATAAGAACCTAGGTGTCGCCCGCGACTCCGTCCGCTCGGAAACAACTTGAAAAGTACCGTATGTGTTCATCTAGACTTTTTATTTATTCTATAATAAATCTTATAATAATAATATATTTATTCTAAATCTATGCCAAATTTCACTAAGATCCGTTGAGTCGTTCCTGAGATACCATCAAACAAACATCCATCCATCCATCTTTCGCATTTATAATATTACTAGAATTATAAAGAAAAAAGCTTTAAAGACTTCTTCAGATATACACGTACCCACAAACAACTGAATCGAATTTAAAAATGTCTCCAATAGCAATATTCGCGAATAACAGCAATATTTTTATGTTGGAAAGAATAGATAATATAATAGTTAATTTACTAAAACTATAATAACACGACGTATTTTATAAATGAACATGATGTGACGAATTAACGCAATACGTCATGTCAGACGCGCCCCTAAATTGAGGAGCGAAGCCCCCATTTAGCAATAAATACCAGTAACATTGTAGGCACACATTAAACGGGAAATTAACGACATTAATCATACTTGAATAAACAATACTACAATATTTCTTACATTACGTTAAAATGCACCCATAAACTATGAGAAAGTACACACAAATGTATTTGTAAAAAAAAAACTTACTGTGCATAACAGTTTTCAAATATCTTAGTGGCTCAAGGTCATTCGCGCAGTGCGCGTTCCATCCTCCCGCATCCCGTTGCCGGCTACTTCTAGGTGTAATATGTTCTGCGCAGCGACTAACGCGAAGTTAAAAGCCGCCAAGATATCTGAAAACATCTATACCATTTAAAAGAACCATGGACAAGAAAAATATATACATTTTAGTATAAATGTTTTTTTTTAAGTTGAAAGCTGAAATTTACCCATTAAGATTTTGAGTGACTTAAATCTTATATACAAAATTCTCGTGTCACAATTTTCGTTCCCATACTCCTCCGAAACGGCTTGACCGATTCTCATGAAATTTTGTGAGCATATTGAGTAGGTCTGAGAATCGGCCAATATCTATTTTTAATCCCGCGCGGACGGAGTCGCGGGCGACAGCTATTATTTATATAATATTGAGTAAATTTCTTATAAGATAAAAATTACTGCGGTTGATAACGTCATAACATTTTTTATTGGCTTTTTCCTGACCCTCTTAAGTACCTGTTTCCAAAAATTGCCATGTCATAGTAATTTCATTTCGCGCAAACTGGCAACATAGAGTGACATTAATAAGGGCGGAACTATAGTTTTTACGTATATAAAATATTTTAGCCCTCGTTAAATTTATCATGTCACCCACTCTGATATTTTAGCGATGTCATAATATGTCTTTTTGTACTATTAACATTTTACTTATAGCTGTTCGATGTTAGTACGTACCCTTTTAATTTAGTAGTAGAAAAACCTAGAAAGAAATGCATATAAGATGATCCTTGTCATTATAAGAGCGTCGGTGGCTCAACCCAGCGAACCCAGGACCTGCAGATTGCAAGTCAAGCACTTGACTTGCAATCTGCAGGTCCTGGGTTCGAATCCCACCATTTACCAATGTGTTTTTAGATTTCTGAGATACATATGTTCATTTATCCGACATTGTTACGGTGAAGGAAAACATCGTGATGCAACCTGCACATATCGAGAAGAAATTCAAAGATATGTGTGAAGTCAACCAACCCGCACTGGGCCAGCGTGGTTGATTATGGCCTAGTCACTCCTAACTTAGGGTAGGCTCCGAGCCCCTCAGTGGGGATGTATAGTGAGCTGATGATCATGATGATGTAATCTTTGACACAACAGAGATAACAATATGGTTTAAACAGGGATATTAGTCTAAGAAACCCACGGTCATAGCGGTTAAGTACTAAGGCACCTTTAAAGTGAATATTACTTAGGAATATTTAAATAAGCAATAAACTATTTTCAGTGTGTAGTTATAGTTATTTTATAATAATATGGGCAACTTTTATAGTTGGGTTCTGAAGTACAGAATGGTTTAGAAACTTTGTATAGAAGATTGTTATTTTTTCTACGATTCATAAATATTTGCTTCACTATCATATGATGTGAAGTAGACAAGATGATATATGCTAGTTTAGTACATCCTTATTTAACCAACTCTTGAACGCTCCCATGTTATTGGGACGGAAAACTGACGCTGGCAACTCATGTCTTCCTAGTTCAGTCATTCATATAAGTTAATAATTAAAAAAAATAGTACCCGATTATTATTTTTAATTCCCTTTTTTTAAAAAAAAAAACAGATAACAGTTATAAATTATTTTAAAAACCATTCAACACGTCGACATTTTATCGTTAACATATCCGTTGATGACATGACAATAAATTTTCCTTGAAAGTACAAAACGAAAAATAAATCATCTACGTATTTTTATCCCAATTAAAAAGTTTACATCGGCTTGTATAAATGAGTTATTTCGTTAGTAAAATTAATATTATAAAAGAAATCCCTCTCAATTTTTAGTGACCAAAATAACAATTGGATTCATAATAGTTATGTCATAACAGATAACTCCGTACGAAAGAAGTAAACAAGTTATAAGACAAAGCATCTCTCATGCGAGCCGCTCATAAGTTTCCGCAGAACAATCACCCACGCTTCACAACTTTCAAACTAAAACTCATTCGTACAGAGTAGCTACTTTAATACAGAGATTTTTATTTAAAAACGAATATGTACTACTAACCTTTTTATTTGGTATCAGGATGGAAATTTTCGTAAGGTACTCTGCTTTTTGGAGGAAAAACA